CCCCTTGCTTCGATTTGCCTGCAGAACAAAATAGCAGGGCAAGAACAACAGTGCACCCTCTGAGGCGCTGTGCCATCGGAAGTCGGGCCATTCAGTATCAACGAGGCTAGAGAGCAATCTACTCCATCGCAAAAATACCCGGTTGGGCGGAGTCGTCTCCAAGGGTTGGGAGAAGCTGCCAAGCAGGTGGTCGGGTGGGCAAGGTGACCTGTCTGCCCTGGGGCTATTAGACTTCGCTATTCCGTGGAGAGACGAGGCCGGCGTCTTTTGTCTGATTTTTTTGGCTGGACTTGTACGTTACCTACCTAGATACGCATAGGTAGACAGGCCCTCGAGGTTTCTGCGGGTGATGGCCGAGGAGGTGGTTGGAACGGATGTTGTCTTGTGGGATGATACGACATATCAGGGATGCCATTGGTAGTAGGAAGACCTCGGGGCAGACTCTTGTTATCGTCGTTGGAATTGGTGGAAGTCGGATGTCAGAATTGCGTTGCATATCAGGGCTTCATCAGACGGAGACCAGCCTGGTGTGCCAGGTATGGCGCGGGCGAGATGCAGATGCATGTGTAGGATTGATTGCTTGACACAGGTCGTCGTCGCCGGACTGCCAAGCATGGAATGCATGTATTCTCGCTCGCGAAGGTGCAGCCAAAGTGTCTCAGAGGTTCACCCACAGGACACTAAAACATGTCTTCACTCGGTTCCTTGTCCATCATTTGGAAGGATGTTGGGCTGCCGCCGCTCAGTTCTTGTCGGGCATGATTACGGCGAGAGGCGGTATACCCCCGACAGCTTAACAAATGAGTCTTGATGAAACTTTTGTGCTGCTGTTGAGAAGATGTCCGTTTCTTTGGGGGAACGACTGACGAACCTTCAAACGCCATATGCGACTCGATGCTGGCGGCTATACATCATTCTCTTGTACACTCTGAGTACCATACACTACTCCATGTCTATTCTAGTCCAGCCGGCGCGACCCCTATTCATGCTGGAATCCAAACAAGTTCGATTACACCATCATGCGCTTTAACTGGCTTCTTCTCCTTTGTCCATCGCTCGTCGTCCTTCTTCCGAACATAGACCTGTGATACCGACCCATCCTCCAATCTCTGTGATTCAACCAGATCCCAGGCAATTTTCTTCCCTGTCTTCACAAGCGATGGCCGTTGAGGACCGAAGGTATAATCAAAGCTCCCTTGGTGGTCTGGATGGATCGAGCGGAACGTCCGCTCCACCTGGTCGAGACGGAAGTCGATGCCATCGGGGTATTGGGCGATGCTGTATCCATTTGAGATGATGAAGTTGTCCGCGGTAACGAAGCGCTGGTAGGGACAGTCCTCGCCGCAAGTGTGCGCGATCTGGGTGGTGTTGAGGGGGTACGTCGTGTGCCATTTCTGTCCGCCCCTGAAGTGGTGAATGCTGAATGGCTTGATGCCGCTTTCGTAGAACCCTGACGCGTCTCCCCCCGACAGATCGAGTTGCCACAGATCCCGCATCCAAGTCATGCGGACGTCGGTGTTGTCGTAGATGCAGTTGCGGAGAAGAATGTCTCCCTGCGCACCCCAGCCGGAATTCGACTTCTTCACCTTGGCAGGTGTTCTGCAAGACGCATGCGCACCGGCAACGATCTTTGCTAACGGGCGGCTGAGGAAAACTCCGCCGCCGCCGAAAGCCTGAGAGCCGTGCAGCCTCACAGCGGTCATGTCCTCGGACAGGGTCCCCACGTAGTGAGGTTGCGTGGGGTCGTAGGTTTTGAGCTTTGCGACGAGACCATTCATTGCGGTGAAGAAGGTATCGTCATCGCACAAGACGAACCACTTGGTGTTGGCGGCCTGGCGAGAAACAAGAAGGGGGACTAGGTTGAGATAGCGTATGGCCATCTTCTTCTCTATGCGGCTGTCCCAGCCGCCCACCTCGGCATCGACACCGACCTTGGCCAGACGTGCAGCGACATCTGTGATCTCGGCGTCGGTAGCGTCAACAAGTTGGACGAGAAGCTTGCCCCCGTTCGACCTGTTGTTGCTCGTCAGCCAGTAGGCCCATTCCTGAATGGTCGTTGGGTCGCTGAGGCGTTTGAAAGTGGTCGAAATGGCGAACATGAAATCTGATAGGTCGGCGTCGGCAGGGAAGGGCGATTCCGTCACAGGGACGTCCAAAGGCTCCTGGTTGCATTGGTCATCGAGATGGTCGTTGCTTGCAGACAGATCTAGTAATCTGAAGGTCTGGCCCATAGTACTGCTATCTGGCAGGAAGCTCTGCTGCAAAGAAGTGGAGGAGAGGCGTTCGATGGGTTTGCGGGTGAAGCGAACGTAGCGCTTGAGGTATTCGACCTGGGAGTCGAGGTCGTGGGTCTCCCCAATGTTGCGCACTCTGACAAGGTCGGTGTTACAGTTCATAACAAGTTTCGAAGGGTGATGGGTGTGCTCGTTGCCCTGATGCAAGTGGTCGAGAGCGGTATGGGCTGCATTTCGAATGTCTGAGGTTCGCAAGACCAGATCTGAGGTATACGGTCGCGATGACGGCAGTTGCAGGAAGATGACGAAGCAGAGGAGCGCGAGGGCAGCAATTTTGAGAGCTCGGGTGACCGGACTGGGCACTCGATGGATGAGAAGCTGTAACCTGCTCCGCAAATCCCTAGCAAGTGGTAGCGGGATTTCGATTGAAATGTGCTGGCGAGTGACGGAGAATCTCATGACGAAGGTTGACGGGTACCGCTGCCAGGCTGGCTTAGACAAGCCCCATTGCAAGTTGGGCAGTTGATTGACTTATATCATCGACCCGGTGTAGCGCAGTAGCAGTGCTTGACTCTCATCTGAGCGACTACATTGGCCGTCTTTGCGAGTTGGGCCAGGTGGGCTGGCGTTGGCTTACCCCTGAACCCTCGAAAGCAGGGACACGAGAGCCGTGGAGAAGAAAAAAACCTAAGGAGACCAGGGGAGCATCTTCAGGTGCTGGATCAAACAGCAGAATGAAGCGAGGCTGAACCCCACACGAGGAGGTACTGCTGTGGCCAGAGGCTATCATCTATTAGAGCTCACCTGCTGTTGCGTGCTAAGCCTCGAACTGTGACTTGTTGGCATGAGTTCAAGGTAGAACAGGGGTCTTGCAATCAGAAATCACCAAACCGGAGCGGCCCGCGCCCTTGCCAGAAGGTGAGAGAGACTGCTAGACCAGTCGGCAGCCGAGGGATGCTGGGCCGAGCCAAGGATTACTTTGCGAGACCGGGCATATCTGAGGGGCTGGCAAGACGAGTGGTAGCGCCAACAGTTGTTGGTGCAGTTGGTGCATGTGGCGGTATCTTCGAGCAAGGTACAAGAAATTGCATGCCCACGAGAAGTGGTGCACGGAAGTCATCGTGACCCTTCCGACAGGAAGACTGAGCTCCACTAACATGGACTAGATCGAAAAGGCTGGTGCTAAGATCTTCGACATGCTCAGCAAGTACAGTGGGGACATGGGGGTGCAGCCAGACCAAACGCTCCATCAAGGTGCTTGAGATGGGCCTCGCCAAATGTTATATCGCCCAGCAGTCTTGGTGGACCCATCAACACAAAGATATCGCTATAGCCAAGACCGTTGAGGTTCACATGGTCAACTTCGAGTACATACTTGCAGGCCGAAGTTTCGCGGAGGTCCCACGTCGCGACCCACCAGTTCACCCCCCAGCTGTGCCACAGGCAACTTCTCAGGTACAAGCTGTCACCGCGTGAGGCCTGGCAGCCAGCTGTCAGCCCAAAATCACGGCTGCACCCCTTGTCGAGTTAAGGTACTTGCCCCCACCGCGATATTTACCGTACCGGACGGTATCCTCTATCGCTCCGAGTCAAAATCCCCAACACTGCCTCGAGCTATTCCTTCTGCGCCGTCGTCTCACATTCAAACTTCCGACGATACCCCTACCCCTGTCCCTTCTCGTCGCCCATCAGTGGGGTATTAACTACCCCAGGCTTCAATGCCTCCTGTGGTCCCTGGATCGTCGCTTTCCTTGATTCCTCTGCAGGCTCGCCGCCTTCGACCACGCAGCATCGCGTGAAGGGTCCACCCACGATCCGAAACCTATGACGTACGGTGTTCGGCGACAGAAGCCAATATGGATCACGGCCATTTCATGGATCACGGCCATGCACATGACATGGCCGGCATGGGTGACGGGGGGAACTCTATCTATGGCACTTGATCCCAGCGGATGACGCCGTTGACCGTGCTCCGAGCCTTTCCAAAGAAGACACGAACAAGAATGCCCGATGTGTCTGCATAAACAGGCAAACCACTGTTTGCATACCAAGGCAAAGCCCAGAAGGACGGCCGCGAGAGACGAAGAAGCCTGAGTCACCGCCGCTACGGTTCCTGCTGCCTTCCCCGAGGCCAAATACAGCTCGCCGGCCTGCCCCTACACCACCACACCAGAAGGATCCCATCCCGGCTCTCTCGGTTTCCCTCAGCACATGGCCACAGCGTGCTCAAGGAGGATTTGGGGACGTGGGCCACGGCGCACCAACAGGGGGAAGGGGGGTGGCAGGCGGACTGCTAGGCCCGCTACAGGGCTGACGTGCGCCGCTAGGCTTCGCCGGGCGTTCAACGAGGCACCCATTGACCATGGCGAAGCACCACCGCTCGCCGCAGTCGCGCCAAGACCTCCTCAGCCGTGAAGTGACGCCTCCAAGAAGGTCGACCACCACACCAGGCATCCGTCTCGCAAAAGTCCTCAGCTCTTTCACGAATGAGGCTACCATCCACCCTTCTGTACGATGTCACACGCTTATTGGCCAGCGCTTCGCGTAGCCGGATGGGTCATTTGTGCCGGGGCTGTCAGCCTGGTAGGCCCCCAGTGAGGCCGCTATGAGGGGAGATGAGTGCATCGTGAGTACATCTAGTGACGCCGCCTCTCTGCTTTTTCCACTTGGATACAAGTCGCGCCTGTGTTTTTGGTATGATTTATTGATTCCGCACCCCCGCCGTTCTGTGCCCGACGAAGATCACTACTCGCCAACATGACCTTGGTGGGTTTGCTTGTTTCACATGTCGACTTGGCTGCCAACTGACAACCACAGCTCAAAGCATTCGCCCGTCTGACGACAGGCTCCTCCTCTTCAAGAGCCACCGGCAATCCATCTGCGACCCCCGACTCCTCCGTGGCCGACGACAGCATGTCAGTCACTAGTGAACCGGCCACTCTTGTTCAGGATGAAATCGACGACTTGACCCTCTCGGTCCATCCCTTGGCATCGCGAGAAGGCCTCCTTGTCAAGGTCGAGCCGCCTACAACCCCACGAGAGGCTTTCCAGTCAGGAAAACGAATTCCTCGTGCTCCCTGCGATATTGTCCTCGTCATCGACGTCTCTGGAAGCATGCACGATGCCGCCCCGGCGCCTGTCATTCCTGGCCAGAAAGACGAGAGCACTGGGCTTTCGATCCTCGATCTTACAAAGCACGCAGCACGAACTATTCTAGAGACACTGGACGAGCGTGATCGACTCGGCATTGTGACATTTACCACAAGTGCCAAGGTCATTTTGCCCCTGGTCGAGATGAATTCGGACAACAAGCTTTCGGCCAAGGACAAGATTGAAAACCTCCAATCTCTGCACGGGACCAACATGTGGCACGGCATCACCGAGGGCATCAAGCTTTTTAGCGATTGTGATTCTACCTCGGGACGAGTGCCTGCTATGATGGTTCTCACAGACGGGATGCCCAATTCAGGGTAGGCTCTCCTGTATCCAGTCAAGAGATGTACATGACCATATTAACGTTGTCCAGATGTCCACGACTAGGATACATTCCCAAGCTCCGTGACATGGGCCAGCTGCCAGCCACGATTCACACATTTGGCTTCGGATACTATATTCGCTCAGGTCTGCTGAAGTCCATCGCCGAAATTGGCGGAGGCAACTATGCTTTCATCCCCGATGCTGGCATGATTGTGAGTCATGATGCCTGCCTAACGATTGCCACCACTGACGCATCGCCACAGGGCACAGTCTTTGTCCACGCGGTTGCCAACCTGCAGTCGACATTCGCAAACCGAGCCACGTTGACGCTGACGTACCCTTCCGAGCTGACCATTCAAGAGAGTGTTGGTGATTCTGTTGAGAAACAGGCACCAATCGAGCTTGCTGGGTACCTGACCCCAACGTCGCAACTGACCATCTCCCTCGGCAACATTCAGTATGGACAGTCGCGTGACATCTATCTTCGCGCTTCGCCTGATGCCTGGAGCAAGCTTCTGGAAAATGACAAAGCGCCATCGGTCAAGGCCAAGCTCCATTACTCACAAATGACCAGCGCGATCTACGCCGAAAGCGCCGAAGGCCTCCTGTCGGATCCGACTACGCTCGACGCTGCTGAAATCGCCTACCACCAGTCTCGGTCTCAGATGTGTGCCTTTTTGTCAACGCTCTTTCCCATTATCAGCGACGAAGAAAGCCAGCACAACGGCGAACACCAAGCTGTCACCAAGGCTAGCGACCAGAGACCACTTTTGCAAACCCTCGTCAGCAACCTACCAGCGCGCACCTTCACCGACCAGAAGAACCAGTCGTTGGTCCAAGACCTCTCGGGACCAGAGCCCAAGGGCCAGGTTTCCCTAGCCATCACCAACGCCGAATTTTACCGTAAATGGGGCGTCCATTACCTGCCCTCGATTCTCAACGCCCACACGCGCCAGATTTGTAACTCGTTCAAGGACCCTGGTCCCCTTCAATACGGTGCCCAGAGTCCGCTGTTCATCGCCTGTCGTAAAGCTCTCGACGACGCCTTCGACAGCATCCCTCCACCGACGCCCAGCCGATACAGAGTGGGCACGTCCAGCAAGCCCATCAACATGCGGCGCTATCACAGCTCCTCCAACCCGTGCTTCGCCGGTTCGACGCCGGTGCTGCTGGCATCCGGACGCAGCGTGTCGATTCGACAGCTGAGACACGGCGTCAAAGTGCTTACGCCACGAGGTCCGAGACGGGTCGCCGTGGTGCTGGTCACGCCTGTTCGCAGGGAGGTCATGTGTCGCGTGGGGGGGCTCGTGGTCACGCCCTGGCATCCGCTGTCGACAGATGCGAAGAGCTGGGGGTTCCCCGCACAGATGGCAGACTCGGCCGTGCGGTACACAGGATGCATCTACTCGGTGGTGCTCCAGCCTGACCGAGACCCGGCGGCCCACGCACTCCGCGTCGGAGGACACTGGGGCGTGTCGCTGGGACACGGCGTGACTGCCGGGGGAGACTTCCGAGCGCACCAGTTCTTCGGCGACTACATGGCGGTCGCCAAGAGTTTGAAGCAGATCGGTATCCGGAAGGGTGGTATTGTGCTCGGTGGAGGGACGCGGAGGCATGAGAAGACGGGCCTCGTGAACGGCTTTCGGCGCGCGACGATGAGGTTGCCGCGGACGGCGGCCGAGCTGGCCAGCATGTGCAAGGTTTGAGACCAGAAGCTGGAGAGGTGTTGGTCGACTACACGATACCCCCCCCCCCCCCCCCCATTTCCACGACGACAGCACTGAGTAGGTAGATGCCGCTTTGTAGAAAGACACTCCTCTTAACCAAGCCGACCACCAACGCGGTCATTTGATGTTGAAACTCATGAACCCACTCGACACTGTCATCTGTACCAATCTGACCAGGGCTGATTGCCTGGTCAAGCATGCTTGACTGGTCCCTCCTCTGTCGAAGGATCACATCAGCACTAACTCAATCAGGCACGATCACCGTCGCAGCATCGCCTTGCAGGAGCGAAACTCTAAGGTCTTAAAATACGACGCTGCCCATCGTCATGGCCGACTTTGCCCTGCCGTCGAGGTTGACATTTCGGATTGAGCAGCACGTCATCCTGTTTGCTCATCGTCAGCATTTCATACAATGGCAGCCTACGCAACAACAGACCTCCTCCTCGACAGCCTCGCGCCCTCCACCGCGCTCCGCCCAATCCTCACCCGCCTCAACGCAGACAACTCATGGATGATCTCCCTGCCGCGTCCCGGCGGGCCGGACGCCTCAGGCAAGGCGTACTACCACATCCTCCAGGATCTCTGGCTCGGCGGCATCCTGACCGAGTGGCCCTACACCGCCTTTCTCCTCAAGATTGTGCGCAAGCAGGCGGGCAAGTTTGACGACGTGGCCGACATTGAACGGCTCGTGGCATCCATCGAAGCGGCGGCCGCAGTCGGAGGTGCAGAGCGGGCAGAGGACACGACGACGACGACGACGAAGCAGCGGCGGCAGAGCGTCGACGCGATTCTAGTGTCGCACTTGAACATTGACCACTGTCATCGGGAGACGCTCGAGCGGTTCCCGCGGGAGACGCCCGTACTGGTCGTCGCGGACGCGGCGGCGCTCGTGCGCGGGTGGGGGCACTTTGAGACGGTGATCGAGCTGCCGGACCTGGAGCCGGCGGCGGTGTCGTGGCCCGTCGGCGTCGGTGCCGGACCCGGACCCGGACCGGACGGGGCGACACCCATCGCCGCGGCGGTGCCGGCGTGGCTGCGGATGTTTCGGCTGCCGGATCGGGACTCGCTGTATCCGCACATCCATCACGGCATCGTCACGTCGTGGGGCGGCGAGACGCTGCTCTACGCGCCGCATGGCGTCGACGCGGAGAAGGCGGCGCACGCGGCCAGGGTGGCACCCGAGGGGACGGCGTGGCTTGCGCTGCTGCACGGGCTCGACGAGCTGGGCACGGGCAAAGCGACGGGCAGGGGGGTCAGGGGGGGGTTGGCGCTCGCGGAGGCTACGGGGATGCGGTACTGGGCGCGGACGCATGACGGGGGCCAGGCGTATTCGGGCATCATCAGCTGGCTGCTCCGGTTCCGGGGGTGGACTTTTGAGGAGGGCGTGGCGGAGATGGAGAGGCAAGGGGGCAAGATGGACACGGTGCCGGCCTTCTTTGACATTGAGAACGGAGGGGCGTTGGTGCTGGTCTAGTTGGTCAGAGCAACATTGTCAAGGCTGATAGGATCGCCAGAAAGCGAGGTGGAGGATTTGTCGTCGGCTGGCGTGTAACCCAGATTGTGTTTCTTTGCAGGCCGAAGTAACCAAAGCCCTGGATTCGGCGTGCCGTCCCGATGAGAAGAGTGTTCTGAGCTGTGGTTGTCAGTTGGCGGCCAAGTCGACACGTGAAGCAAGCAAACCAACCAAGGTCATGTTGGCCCGGGTGAACCGCTCTGTATCTCTCTGTAAACTTGCATCATGCCATCATTCAAGCGAGCCACTAACAAGACAGGGCAAAATGGCGAGGTCATCTCATCCATGCCCTCATGGACGATCCGGGGCTTCCCTCCCCCCCAGACGAGTCAGAAACAATTGTCAATTTTATCCGCCTCTTCGGGGAAGAAGCAAGGAAATGACGCCAACAAAAGTCCGTCGACCGTTACATCGGGCAATACTGTCGTTCGGTGCCAAGTCGTTCTCCCGCCAGCAGGCATTCGTCTGTGGCCCCTGGGAGCAGACCTCGCATCGTGAAGCGCGCGAATGGGAGTCGTGTGATCTGCTCCAGCCGGCAGATAACCGGCACCTGATGACCGAGATGATCAAGGATCTGGGGAACCCGTGGCGCGTCTGGGGACTACGACCAGGGCCAGCGAGCGATCGTCCTCCTCCCCCGCTCCCTCTCCGCTTTTTCTCTCCTCTCCCCTCACGATGCCGGGCCGTTCCTTGCATATGGAGCTGTTGGAGGTGAGGCACCAGGTTGCCAGGCCGTTGATGATGTGATGTCAACATTGCCTCGCCTTTCCGCGGCATCCCCCACCAAGGCGCCTTACCTGCATTCATCTCAGCTGCCCCTGAATTAGCCGGACCCGTCACAGCGTGCTTATCCCCTCACGGCGGCCTTGCTCACTGCTGCAGCGATATTGGATGCGTCGCTCGGAGTACTGCCGACCGAATCAAGAGGCTTCGGTCGGTTTCTGCCGATTGTCCTGGTGCCATGGGCGCATATTGGAGCGGGGTGGTACACAGTGGACATGGCGGTGTTGGCAGTTCGTTGTCGAGCTGGATGATCTTTCACGCGTTGACCCGGAGGGTTATAAAGACCGTACAGAGATGCGCTGGCTTCCTCGCCGACTCTGCACGCGCACGTCTTGACTCTGACTGAGGTTCCGATATTCACCATAGCAACATGGCGCCCCTCAAGCAGATGCTGCTGGCTCTTGCCTGCGTGGCATCTTCAGTCGCATTCGACATCACCGTTGCCTCATCGGGTGGTAACGCTACCAGCGGCCACCAGTATGGCTTCCTCCACGAGGTTGGTCACCGCGCTCGTCTGCCCCGTGCCGCCCATCAGCTCACAGTACCAGGATATCAACAACTCTGGCGACGGCGGTATCTACGCCGAGCTCATTCGCAACAGAGCCTTCCAGTTCAGCGACCGCTACCCCGTCAACCTTGACGGCTGGCACGCCTTCAACGGCGCCAGCCTCCAGCTGAGCAACCTGAGCGAGCCCCTCTCCAATGTACTCCCAGTCTCGGTGAACGTGGCGGCCGGCAACTCGTCTGGCGTCGTTGGTCTCTCCAACGACGGCTACTGGGGCATCGATGTCAAGAAGCAAAAGTACACTGGCTCGTTCTGGGTCCGCGGCTCCTACGAGGGCAAATTCACCGCCTCGCTGCGGTCTGATCTCAACGACGACGTCTTTGGCTCGGTGGATGTGGCATCCAAGGCCGTTGCTGACGACTGGATTGAGCATGAGTTCGAGCTCATCCCGACCATGGATGCACCGAACAGCAACAACACATTTACCCTCACCTTTGATTCAGAGGTATGTCCATCTGCCTTGTTGGCTTCCCCTTGACGTCCTCGTAGTAACATCTTGTCAGGGCGCTGCAGACGGCTCGCTCGACTTCAACCTGATCAGCTTGTTCCCGCCCACGTACAAGAACCGCAAGAACGGTCTCCGTGTGGATATCGCCGAGTCTCTTGCTGGACTCCACCCTGTGTGTCCCAAGAGCCCTTGCCACCATTCTCCATGTTAACAGTGAGGTAGTCGCTTCTTCGCTTCCCCGGAGGCAACATGCTCGAAGGCAACACCAACAAGACCTGGTGGGACTGGAAGGAGACCCTTGGCCCTCTCCGCTACCGTCCTGGCTTCCCTGGCGTGTGGGGGTACCAGCAGACTCACGGTCTGGGTCTGCTGGAGTACCTGCAGTGGGCTGAGGACATGAACCTCGAAGTCGGTAGGGTCGATCCGTCGTCAAGTGGTGGGAAGCTCCCTGCTAACTCATGACAGTCATTGGCGTCTGGGCTGGCCTTGCCCTGAACGGCGACATCACTCCCAAGGACCAGCTCCAACCCTTCATCGACGATGCCTTTGACCAAATCGAGTTCATCCGCGGCCCTGCTGACTCCAAGTGGGGTGCCCGTCGTGCTGAGCTTGGCCACCCTGAGCCCTTCAAGCTCGACTACGTCGAGATCGGCAACGAGGACTGGCTCGCTGGCGGCGCCGCCGGCTGGGAGTCCTACAAGGAATACCGCTTCCCCATGTTCCTCGAGGCCATCAACGAGCGCTACCCCGACATCCAGGTCATCGCCTCGGGCGCCAGTTCCGACGGCCACGACATCCCGGCCCCGGCCATCGGCGACTACCACCCGTACCGCACGCCCGACGCGCTCGTCGACGAGTTTGACCGCTTCGACAACGACGTCGGCCACATTGTCGGCGAGGTCGCCGCCACCCACCCCAACGGCGGCACCTCCTGGGAGGGCGGCCTCCACCCCTTCCCCTGGTGGATCGGCACCGTCGGCGAGGCCGTCTCCATGATCGGCTACGAGCGCAACGCCGACCGCATCCCCGGCACCTTCTACGCGCCCGTCCTGCGCAACATGAACCGCTGGCAGTGGGCCGTGACCCTCGTCCAGTTCGCCGCCGACGCGGCCCTCACCACGCGCTCCACGAGCTGGTACCTCTGGGAGCTCTTCGCCGCGCACCCCATGACCCAGACGCTGCCCGCCGAGGGCTCCTTCGACCCGCTCTTCTACGTCGCCGGCAGGAACGAGGACGCCGGCAGCTTCATCTGGAAGGGCGCCGTCTACAACACGACCGACAGCGCCGACGTGCCTGTCACGGTTGCCTTTGAGGGCGTCGATGCCGGCGCCAAGGCTCTCCTGACGGTGCTCTCGAACCCGAGCGCCGACCCGTATGCCTACAACGATCCCTTCACCGGCGTGAACATTGTAGACACGGAGGTCATTGATCTCGTGGCGAACGAGGATGGCGTCTTTGAGTTTACGCTGCCCGAGTTGTCGGTTGCTGTGCTCGACACGGATACGAAGCGCAAGTGCAAGCGGGGGTCGCAGCGACAGTGAGGGCATGCTGTGCTGCGCTCGAATTAACTAGAGTTTTAAATTAAGAGTTTGTATATAACCTCATGAAAATCGGCATCGCGATGCGACATTCCTGTAGTAACGAAATGGTCATTTTGTGTTCACCACGAGGCCTCATGTGACGTCTTTGCTACATGTCCAACATCATCAGCCAGGGCGTTCATTCGAAAGGACAACCTGCGCTACTCGAGGCGATTTGAGTTGGAGGTGCGTCACGCCACATGATGGAAGGGGGCCAATCTTACACAAAAGCACACGGGGTTCCAGTTCATCATTTGTTCTTCTCGTTCTCCAAGTCGAATGAGGGCCTGCAGTTGAGGTCACCAGCGTGCGAACCAGATCCCAGACATCATGTGAGGTATTGCCGTTTCGGGAGGCTCACATGCTTCTGCCATCACCACTGCCAAACGACGCGTAACAGAGTACGAAAAGGGTCATACTTCACCTGATAAAAGGCCTCGCAGATGCCTCGCAACGTTGAACTCGACATCTGGTCGCTTTTCCCGTGGTCATGCCACGAATGCGGGTGCCGATACACCAAACCGCCCTCACCGTTACGAGTCGATCATGAACAGCCTGGCGCAATTTACCCTCCTGACTGTCCTCTCTCGAGGGCGGTTTCAGGGCTATGAAAATCAGATCTGGAACGGATCGAGAGCTTCGCTGCCGATCGTCTCGCCAGCGAAGTCGAATGATCGGCCAGTGAGCCAGCACGCCAGCGAGGAAAGGAGCGAGGGTCGAAAACAGAGCGATAATGGGACATCTCGCCATGGCCGCAGCAACTCAGCGGGCCCTGGTAGCAACCACAGCGGCGGAGACGATGCTGGATCTTATCTGAAAGGCGAACTGTATTCTGCCGTTCTACTGGCACAGTCCTTCGCCATACTCGGGGAAATTGGACTTGTAGGCTGCAGCGCCGTGGAAGAGACTGACGACGACGGGTTTGAGAGTTGGAACAGGTGATGCTCAGCCATCGTACCGGGCTTAAGCAGCGTAACTGACAGTGTTAGACTGCTCGAATTCTGCCTCCTGCCGCTCCTGCTCTTCTTCAGCCTCTCGATATCGACGCTCCTCATGCATCTTGTTGGGTGCCTCAGCATCACATTTCACTTGAGCGTCCAGGCAGCCGGGTCACTATTTGCGACATTCTGTGGCGTTATCGTCTTAGCCGCCTCCGTTGGTCTGGCAGGAGACAAGGAGCGCTCTTCTGCGTTCAATGGATTCATTGCCGTTTTGTGTGGATTTGGAGCCCTTTGGTACGGTTCTTCAGGCTTCCCCCCCCCCTCTGTATTTATCTTACTGACGCGACCAGGACGCTTTTCATCATTGGATTCCTCCAGGCTAGTTGGGCCTGGCACCGAAGAGACTGTCTTCAAGAGGATATCAGAGCATCGTCAGGAAGTGCTAAGGGCTACGGCACGACATCAGGGGGGCTGGCTGTCGAGCAGGAGGGGCTGGACGACTTGCAGTAGCATGGCCTTGCCTCCATCCACCTGTCAGAACGTGGGTTTGAGCAGAGTGAAGAGGTCTTGCGCACTAGGTCCGCAGGCAATAGATACTAGTTAGGGGGTTAGAAGACATCTGAATGCTGACATCTCGCAACCCTTATATACGCGTTCTCGAAGCCCCAAGCTCCTAATCAACCCCCTGTTCCATGGTTCTGTGGCGTCCTCCCGACACCACCACATACGACTCATTTTGACGTTAAATTATCTGCGCTGACGTCAAGGCATCGATGTTTATAATTGTACGGGCTCTCCAACCGTGATGTGAGGCTGGTTGATGTTTCGAAGTGGGAAACTCATGCTGGGTTGTCATTCACGGTGCCACACATGTCCGTCCTTCATGGTGGAGATAAACCGTATGGAAGCAGCTCGGCGCAGGCTGTGTGATCATTCTAATAAGTCTGGCCAAGAGATGGCAGTTTATAACAAGAAGCGAGCACGCACGCCGAAAGAAGGTGGAATCGTTGTTTCAACTTGTCAAATTCATCAGCCCTGATATCGTCTACTATGCATAACAAATTGGCCCGAACACAAGCTGGAGAATATTTCCGAGGGGACAGCATACTTCACTTTTTGTTGATCTTTCGCTTTCTCGACTACGCATACTGTTTATCTGGATATATACCTCGCTGCGACAAAACGCATCCTTGCCTTACAGTCGAATAGAGACTTCCATCCCGAGACCTCTGTTCGTTTCAAGGCCTCGTGTGATAGAGATTCCATAGACTGGGCCAGGAGCCTGTGGTGCCCACAATTCAAGCACCTGTCGACATTCCAGTCTACGCACATTCCTAGTCCAACCCCCCTTTTTCATCGTACCAGGCACTCCCGGCCGTACTGTGCATGTCTCGGTTCTTTCTGCCTCGACGCAGTACCCGCAGATTCGGCGCGACCTTCCATTTCCCATACACCAGAGTCAAACAGACAGGATTAAAGGGGCCCGCAACATATCTCGTGCGATACTGACTTGCGCTGTCGAGTCACGAGAACCCGGCATTGAGGGTGACATAAGCCTCCCCTCCTGATCCACCAAGAGTCCGCGCGGAGCATGGACGTGACAGCTGTGCGTACGTTAGCTGTGCGGCTCAAAGCTACACGAGCGCTTAGGATGTCTTAGTAAGGAGTTGTGAGAACAGGATGCAGGACATGTCAATTGTGGTGTTCGGGTGACACCGGATACGTGATTTAACATGCTATATTCAAGGTAGTACTTACGACTGAACACGCAATGCGTAACCTCCAACATCAGACAACGCAGCCGTATGAGTCAGCGGCATGTTCAACGTCCCGGATGGAATAGTGCAGCTCCTTCTTGCAGCCCGAACACTGGAGGACCCCCTGGTTGGTAAGGTACACAGGTATTGGCCAGAGGCCGCTACGAGCCAGCGTTCAACTGTGAACATTGCTGTTGTTTCGTGTTCAAACGACCCCCCAAGGACTGTAGCGTTGGCAAAGCCGGGCTGGCGCGGGCTTTGTGGAGCGCGATCCGGGCCGCAAGATGAGTCCGGGAACTGAGCACGATACATGTCTGGTCAGAATGGGTCCTTTTTTCTTCCAGGTTGTTCCAAGGCTCATTACGCATGCACCTTAGCCGAACACGCATCCGCGGGAAACATGAGGGCAGGGGTTTCGGCATCATGAGACCAGCATGGTTACAAGCGCTTCTTCTTCGTTTGCCTCTTAGGCATATGGGCCTCTGTTCCCCAAGCAGGAAAATGGGGTACAGATCTGATGGCTAACTCCTGGAGCACGGAGTTCGTGTCGTCTCCGCGTCCGAATTCGACAGGGCGACGCAGGTGCAGGTCTGAAGTCAGCCCGTGACATGTGATCGACTTCTGCTTGATGCTGTTTCCTGGTTTTACCTACTGCCCGCGGCGCAGCAACAGGCACCGACGACGAAGACAAGAGTTCATCAGTACTGGAGGCAAGGGCACAATGCATTCCGAACACCGATCCAGGCTTTGCAATTGGAGTAGTACGTGGGACATGATGTTTTCGCTTGCAAATTGTGCTGCCGTCCTTTCAATGAGATGACCATATATCTTGACGTAGCAGATTTATTCGTGTTGTAGTCTGAGATTCCTGCTGTTCCCTCCTTCTTTCTCTGTGTCTGATTGATGTCTTATGTGATTCGTATCGTGGTGCTCATGATACTGGCTTACGAGTGAGAGAAACTTCAGCGTGAACATGCAAATTGAAAAAAAAAAGAAAAAGAAGAAGTACGAGTCGCACGCAGTCTTCGCAGTCTACCAGCTATGACAACGTCGAAACGAACCAACAGAAGACACTTCAATCCTAGGTGTCTTTCGGAGCCTTTCCTCCAAGACGGTCTTCGTAATACAGATGCCATCTGCTGCCACCTGGAAACAGCTCCGCCGATTAGCTCGACTCGTTGCGACACGAAATGTCGATCTCTTCGCAATCGCTTTCGCAACGTGAGGCCCCTGCGCCCCACCCCGCGATTTCAACGCACTGCATACCCACGAACACAGGCAAGTTCGTCAACACAAACCGCAGCAGGCAACTCATCGGCGTCTCTGATGACGTTCCAAGTCCTGGCGCACGTGTCTGGCTGCCCATCACGAGCTCGGCAACAGCAACGTCTATGATGCAGATAGTCGGACTTCGGGGAACGAGAATGCCGTGCCGTACGTTCGGGGCTTCGAGGGGGAGGGACTATGTGATCAGGACGACGGATTGCCGGACGCATGTTCTCCCCCCCTTGTTTTGGTTGCCCGTTGTATTTTGCCAGAACAGCCCGGCGTCGACACAGTTGCCCGTTGTATTCTGCCAGAACAGCCAGGCCTCGACACATTTTTCCGACTTGGCTACCCAGGTACCTTAAGTACCCCGACGTCCACGGCAAGAGCGCGCAGGCGCTGGGAGGGTTTCGGTGGCAGGCCCTCGCACAGGCAGGACTACAGGACCCGAATACGCGGGTTCCTAGTGGTCACGCCAGCATCAGCCTTAGTAGGGGCGGGAAAGTTCAGGAAGGGATCAGGCAGAAGAAGGTCAAAGTTCGGGACCCCCTTAGGCCTTCCACGAAGCGAAGGAGCGCGGGGCAGAGCCCAGAACTGTAGTGAGTCCCAGTCCAATGGGTGACGGGCACGAGCACGAGCACGAGTACGAGCGACAGGGACGTGTGAGAGCATGGTCAGCATTTGTCTGAGAGCATGGTCAGCATTTGTCTCTCGTCAGCATGCTTGCAGTGGCACGCTGAGCTTGACTCGAACAAGGACGATCCGTAACTCAAAAAACCCTTCGCAGAAAAACTAAAAAAAAAAAAAACGAAGATGAAGTTGGTGGAGAGAGAGAGGAGGGGTGGGCATGTCGTCGCCAACCCAGACCGTTGCTTCTTTGGCAACGGTCTCAGCCGCCTCCAGTTCTGTGAGCCGACGACGTGTACCTAGCATGCGTGTATGGTCTTCCGCTCCCGCCCTCCACGGACCATCGTTCGGGCGCGCCGGAGTTTGAAGTGGTTTTCGGGCCTCTGCAAGAGCCCGTTCGGCGGCGCAGAAGATGGCATATTGATAAGCTTACACGTGGAGGATCATGGCCAATGTCCAGAGATTTGTTGGTCGGCGTCTTGGCCCGCCCCCAGGCACCTAGCCGTTGGCGAACAATTCGCGTTCCGCAGGCCGCAGGGACAGGCGCTTGTGTCTGGTGGGTTTTCTGCCGCTTGGTGGGTTGCGGTGGGTTGGTGGGTGTGTGACAAGTGTGGGTGAGGAGCGAGCCATGTGCGGCGGACGGTGGGTTCAAGGGGGGCGGAGGGGCGAGAAAAGGCAGATGGTCGCGACCCCGAAAGATGGTGCGCAGGCGGCATGCCATCATCGGATGGCAACAAGCATCGCCCGCGACTCGGTCTGTACGACAGTCGGGCTCGATACCGGGTTCGGGTCGATCGAAGACCCCGAGAACAGAGTGGAGACGGGGTGAGGTGCAAGACCACCTGAGCCTGAGGCCGTCAGCACCAGGACTCATTAGCACAGGACTCGTTAGGTGCTCCAGACAGCGCGCGCGAGCACCACCGCCAGCAGCTCCCAAGTCCCAGGGCCTAAGGGCCTAGGGCCTGCGCGCGCCGCATGGCAGTGGCCCCACTTGACGGGAGACAACCTCGCTTGCGGCTCTTGACAATTTGCTTGCTCCCCCACCTGCCTACCTGGCAACTGGGCACCCAGGGCACCACAGGTAGGTATCTGGGTATCTACCTGTCAGCCTAGTGACCCATTGGGTGCTCATTTTTACGGCGCCTGCAGTGAGGTGCCCACCCCTTCCCCCTTCCATCGGTTCCCTGCATGGTCCTGTCGATACCTGCCCTGTCGACATACGCCCAACACGCTCAACATGCTCAACTTGCTCATTGTTGCTCGCGTGGCGCTCGACAGGTGCAGGTCGACGACAGCTGCGTGAGACGAGCCGAGCATGTTTTCGACCAACGAAACAGCGACCTTGATAAGAGCCTCGAGCGCTTCTTTCTCTCGCGCTGCTCTCGTTTCCCTCGTCGAGGCCTGGCCCAAAACAAACAGCCGCAAGAACTCTCCATGTCTGGCTTCAACGTGCCTAGGGAGGCACTTCACAGCACACCAAGACACCCCCCCCCTACCCCACCAGCGGGAGCCATTTCATCCGCATCCCAGGCTTGTGGAGGCGATCCCGCGACCCACCGTGCCGAAGCTCGCTCATTGGACGACCACTGCTGTGCTCGGGACAATAGAAGACACCGATGGCTCTGAGGGTCAGCACAATCTGAGCGAATCTGCGGGCAGATGAGGAATCTCATCTCACACGGTCCCAGGACCTCGCCTCCACTGGTCGAGCGACCTTGCGGGAGGAGCGCAGCATGATTGATCATGACGGCGCGCGGCCCCGAATTTTCGACCTGGGGTTCGGGGCCAGCCCGTCAGCCAGCCAGCCAGTCAGCCAGGTCAGCGCAGGCACGAAATGTGAAGACGGAGAGAGACAGACAA